TCCACTAAAAAACTATTAGAACTGATAAATTTAATAAAGTTGCAGGATACAAAATCAGCATACAAAAATCAGTAGCATATCTACATGCCAACAATGAACAATCTGAAAAAGAGATCAAGAAAGCAATCCCAATTGCAATAGCTACAAATAAAATGAAATACCTAGGAATAAACTTAACAAGAAGTGAAAGATCTCTACAATGAAAACTATAAAACACTGACACAAGAAATTGAAGAGGATACAAAAAAATGAAATGATATTCCATGTTCATGGATTGGAATAATCAATAGTGTTAAAATGTCCATACTCTCTAAAGCCATCTACACATTCAATATAATCTCTATCAAAATACCTATGACATTCTTCACAGAAATAGAAAAAATAATCTAAAAATTTATATAAAACCACAAAAGACCCCAGAATAGTCAAAGCCATCCTGAGCAAAAAGAACAAAACCGGAGGAATCACATTACCTCAGATTATACTACAGAGCTATAGTAACCAAAACAGCCTGGTACTGGCCTAAAAACAGACACACAGACCAATATAACAGAATAAAGAACCCAGAAATAAATCCATACATCTACTCTGAACTCATTTTCAACAAAGGTGCCAAGAATATACACTGGAAAAAGATAGTTTCTTCAATAAAAGGTGCTGGGAAAACTGGATATCCACATGCAGAAGAATGAAATTAGGCCTCTATCTTTCGCCATATACAAAAATCAAATCAAAATGGATTAGAGACTTAAATCTAAGACCTCAAACTATGAAATTACTACACATTGGAGAAACTCTCCAGGACATTAGTCTGGGCAAAGATTTCTTAAGTAATTCCCCACAAGCACAGGCAACCAAAGCAAAAATGGACACAAGGGATCATATCAAGTTAAAAAGCTTCTGAACAGCAAAGGAAACAACAAAGTGAAGAGACAACCCACAGAATGGGAGAAAATACTGGCAAACTATCCATCTGATAAGAGTTTAATAACCAGAATATATAAGGAGCTCAAACAACTCTATAGGAAAAAAAATCTAATAATCCAATTTAAAAATGGGCAAAATATCTGAATAGATAATCTCTCAAAAGAAGACATATAAATGGCAAACAGGCATATGAAAATGTGTTGAATATCATTGATCATCAGAGGCATGCAAATTAAAACTATAACTAGCTATCATCTCACCCTAGTTAAAACGGCTTTTATTCAAGACAGGCAATAATAAATGCTGGTGAGGATGTAGAGAAACACTGTTGGTGGGAATGTAAATTAGTACAGCCATTATAGAGAACAGTATGGAGGTTCCTCAAAAAACAAAATAGAAATACCATATGACCCAGAAATTCCACTGCTGGGTTTGTACCCAAAAGAAAGGAAATCAGTATCTCGAAGAGGTATCTGTACTCCCATGTGTATTGCAGCACTATTCACAATAGGCAGGATTTGGAATTAACCTAAGTGTCCATCAACAGACAATGGATAAAGAAAATGTGGCACATATACAACATGGAGTACTGTTCAGCCACAAAAAAAGAATGAGATCCTGTCATCTGCAACAATACGGATGGGAACTGGAGGACATGATGTTACATGAAATAAGACAGGCACAGAAAGACAAATTTTCCATGTTCTCACTCATCTGTGGAAGCTAAAAATTAAAACAATTGAACACACAGAGATAGCAGAAGGATGGTTACCAGAGGCTGGGAAGGATAGTGGGGGTGGGGCAGGTAGGGTGAAGAATGAGGATGGCTGATGGGTACAAAAATATAGTTAAATACAATAAATAATATCTAGTATTTGATAGCACAACAGGTGACTACACTCAGCAATCATTTTCTGTACATTTTAGAATAAGGGAGTACAACTGGAATGTTCATAACACAAAGAAATGATGAATCCTTGAGGTGATGGTGCTCCATTTACCCTGATGGGATAATTACACATTGCATACCTGTACCAAAATAGCTCATGTACTCCATACATACATACACCTACAATGTACCCAAAAAATTAAAAATAAAAAAATTTAAAGTTTTGTTATTTTTTCTTTAAAAAATAGGTGTTTCTGGTTATAGAAATAACACACGCTCATAGCAAAAAATTGAAATTAATAAGCAATAAGCAGGAGACTTCCAGTTTCTCCGGTCCAGCATGTAAGATGCTTAGAAGTCGCCACCTCATCCTAACAACAAGCAAAACGCTGAACAAACTGAAAAAGCAACAACTATTCTTAACTGCATAAGAGACGTGAGGTCACAGGGCAAACTGCTGCCCCCAAAATCAGAGAGACCAACAGGCAAATACAGAGACTCACAAATTACCAGAGCAGAAACCTACAACAAGCTGAAGGCTCTGCAGGAACCAGCAGCAGGGTAGGGAAACCTGAGCTGTAATCGACAACCTGCTGGAGACTCAGTATGTACAAATCTGAGTTAAAAACGCCAGGGGAACTCTGTCGGTGGGGGCACCCGCATTTTTGTGAGGTTTACCTCCTAGAGGTCTACCAGGTTATTGCAGTGAATACTGGAAAAAATATCCTGTGCTTCTGGCTGGGGAAGGGGGAAGGCAACCATTTGGAAACATATAGGAGCATCCTGTTTTTCTCCCCCACTTCTTTTTTTTCCTTTGAGACGGAGTCTCACTCTGTTGCCCAGGCTGGAGTGCAGTGGCACGATCTCTGCTCACTGCAACCTCTGCCTCCCGGGTTCAAGCAATTCTCCCGCCTCAGCCTACCAAGGAGCTGGGACTACAGGCATGTACCACCATGCCCAGCTAATTTTTTTGTATTTGTAGTAGAGACAGGGTTTCACCATGTTGGTCAGACTGGTCTCCAACTCCTGACCTCAAATGATCTGCCTGCCTCAGCCTCCCAAAGTGCTGGGATTACAAGCCTTAGCTACCGCGCCCAGCCAGGAGCATCCAGTTTTTCTTAACAAGGTCTGCCCTCCGGAGAAACTTATTTAATTACAGCCTAACCTGAAAGCGTTTTATCAGACTCATAACTGACCTGGGGGATGTGAAATATCAAACTGCAGCACCTTCTGGCCATCCTGTCCCACCTACAGGGGGAAAATTCTGAGAAGCATGTGGGAAGTTCCCAGTCCAGAGGAACCGGCTCACCAAAAGATTGAGACCCAGTCACAGGAGTACAAAATGATTCTTGTCCCCCAGCACCTCACCACCACATTCATACAGGCCTGTTTACCAGTTCCTTTCACATAGTACTTCCTGTCCAGCTATCGAGGAAAAATTATAAGACATACTAGAGGGCAAAAATACAATCTGAAGAAAAATAGTATGCATCAGAACCCTTTAAATATAAAAGACTAGAAACCATACAACGTCTGATCTCAGGCCACAATGAAATTAGACTAAAAATCTGTAACAGAAATGCAGCTGGAAAATCTCCAAATACTTGGAGGTTAAACAACACACTTCTAAATAACACATGGATCAAGGAAGAAATCTCCAGAAAACTTTATAAATATTTTGAACAAAATAAAAATGAAAACATAACTTATCAAAACTTGTGGAATGCAGTAAAAGGTGCTTAGAAGAATATTTATAGCATCAAATGCATATATTAGAAAAGAAGATCTAGACTGGGCATGGTGGCTCACGCCTGTGATCCCAGGACTTTGGGAGGCCAAGGCAGGTGGATTGCCAGAGGTCAGGAGTTCGAGACCAGCCTGACCAATATGGTGAAACTCCATCTCTACTAAAAATACAAAAATTAGCTGGGCATGGTGGTGCGTGCCTATAGTCCCAGCTACTCGGGAGGCTGAGACAGGAGAACCGCTTGAACCTGGGAGGCGGAGGTTGCAGTGAGCAGAGATTGCACCACTGCACTCCAGCCTGGGCGATAGAGCGAGGCTCCCTCACAAAAAAAAAAAAAAAAAAGAGAGAAAGTCTAAAGTCAATCATCCAAGTTTCATCTTAGGAAAGTAGAAAAAGAACAGCAAATTTAATCCAAAGTAAGCAGAAGTAAAGAAATAATTAAAATTAGAGAAGAAATCAATAAAAT